GGTTTCTGCTGAACAGTTATAGATAGTCTGATTGGTATTTCTTTATAGTCTACCCTTGTTTTTTCCTTTCTGTGGTTTTAGTATTCTGTCATTATTACTGATTTTCAACAGTTTATTATAATGTATCTAGGAGTGCTTAATTTTGTTTGAAACTCTTAGATCAGGAAATCTAGTTTGTCTTCCAGGGTGAGTTGGTTTTCAGTAATTATTCCTTCAGATAAATTTTCTGTGCTTTTGTCAGGTTTTCTTAAGGGATCCCCATAATGTGAATGGTATTTCTCTTTTAATTATCCCAAAGGACTCTTTACTTAGTCCTTTTTTCTCTTTGTTCTATATGGGTGTCTGTGTTCTGACATTGTGCTTTGAGCTCCCTCCATTGTTTGTGTTTGTTGTGTTTTTGAGGTCCATTATTATTTTTTTTAGTTTGTTTATAATATTTTTCAGATTCTTCAATTCTAATTGTAACTCTCTTATATTTTGTCAGCCTTTATTCTCTTCAGTTATATTCTGTAGTTCTATTGCATTGAGACTTCTCTAATAGTATTTTTGTTCCAGCTTTTGTGATATGTTCTTTCTCTTCATTTTTCATTTTTATAAGTTGTAGTAGGTAAGTCTGCTGCCTTTGTATTGTTTAGCTGACCAGAGAACTGGTACCAACAAGGGATAATAGGTAGAAAAGAACCATAGTATTTCTAAAGGCTTGCCTCCACTGAGTGTCAGGGATTTAAGCTTCCTTCTTTGCTGCAGATACCAGAGTTTTGTGGTGGGCATCTATAGTGAGCCCCTTCAACTCGCTAGCCTAAGTGTCTTATCTAGTCTGGTACCAGTCTCTGCCTCTAGGCTTTTTGAGCTCCAAACTAGGCATTGTTCTCTTGGATTTCCCAGTGCAGAGCCTCACCCTGGGATGTGTACTTCTACTGTTAAAGTCTAAGTGACTAAACTCTGGTTAGTGAAAGCATTCAGTTGTCTTGATAATGGCTTTGAATACAGGGGAGGGTGGTAGTTTCTTAGAATATGGAGTCTCAGGCTGCAAATAATAGCCTGGTCTATGGGAAGACATAGGGGATCTGACTTGGTTTTTATACCTCCCTCCCTTCTCCCCCCACCATTTTGGTATTTAATTGTTCTGTATTGGAGTCTCAGGCTTAAGCGAGTTAATACCATTGTATACCAGAGCTCCTTTCCAGTACCCACTGACTAGTAATTAGAGACTTTTGTTGAACCATTTATCTGACATTACTGTAAAACAATATCCTAGAAGTAGGTAGACACTATAAATAATGAGACAGTTTTGAATATAGTCAGATACTTGAAATTTTATTATTTGAAAAAGAAAATTACAGGGATATATGAGTGAACTTGATTTTCCTTGATGTGCATGTTTACGTTCTTGAATTCAATTGTGTATAGTTTGTTTGTTTTTGCAGGCTTGTTTTTCCTTAAAATCATATGCCTTCTAGTTCATCATGTAACCTTTATATTTGTTGTCTTAAAATTGTAGCTCCCATTTATGTGTTAAAGAGTGTATAGTATCACTGACTGACAATTCTTGTTTGGAGGGTTCTGTTATTATTAAAGTAAAATTGTTCCTTAGAACACATTTGAAGAAGTTAGCTTGCATATGGGATTATGTTGTAGTTGACTTAATTTAATGTTTTTCTCATTGTGACTTCACAAAATACAGAATTCAGCTATTGTTGCCAGTAAGAGGCACAATAAGTGATTGACTTGGAAATAAAATTAAAAGTTATTAAGGACTATAAAGGTGGAAAATCAGTGGTGGACTTACTAATCAGGCACGTCCCACCTTAGCTACAAACTTGAACAAAAACAAAACTATTATGGGTCTACCTTGTTGATAGCACAGTGAGACTAACAAAAATTTGACAAGGGACTAAATATCAGATGCATAAAGACTTAATAATGACCCAGATTAAAGATCACACACTGAAGTTAATTCCTCTCAGCACCGTGATAATATATAGTCAAAGTAAAAAAAGTAAAAAAGTTTATGATGTTGGGGGGCAACTAACCCAGATCATGATGTTTAATTTACTGTGAATTATGTGTTTTAAACAACTGGTTGTTATGTAATGTGAAAATGAATACTAAGCAAAATAAAAAAAAAGTTTGGAAACTCTAGATAAGCTGATTGTGAAAGAAAATTACTCCAGATCAAATATTCTGTTACATATGGACAAAATCTCTATTCTGGAAACAGACCTAAAATGGTTTCATCCATAAGGAGGCCAGGTGACAGATTTCAAGCCTTTTTTTTTTTAACATTTAAAAAAACTTTAATATATCTGTTTATATTATTGTTCATTTTATAGTAATGCTTACTTCCCTCCTCCCTCCCATCATCACCATAACCCCGCCCCCATATTCCTCCCTCCTCCTGATCCCACTCTGTCCCCTTCCCCTGTAGGATCTCTCTGGTTTATAATTGTTTTGTATTGTTTTGTTGTATTTTGTATTGTAATAATAATAATAATACACTTTTATTTTTCCCCTGACTTACTTGGTTCTCTTAAATTTCTCCTATAAGAGAGACCATTAGATATTTTTCTTTTTTCTTCTGACTTATTTCACTGAGCATAATCCCTTCCAGCCCCATTCATGTTGCTGCAAATGACATGAGTTTATCTTTCTGATTGCTAAATAGTATTCCCTAGTCAAGAAATGGGCAGAAAAACTTAAAAGACACTTCTCCAAAGAGGAATTGCAAATGGCCAGCAGGCATATGAAAATATTTCCAGCACCCCTCATAATCAGGGAAATGTAAATCAAAACCACAGTGAGATACGACCTCATACCTGTGAGAATGGCACATATCAAAAAAAACTAACAAACAACAAATGCTAGTGAGGATGTTGTGAAAAGGAACTCTCCTATATTGCTGGTGGGAATGCAAACTGGTACAGTCACTATCGAAAACTGTATAGAGTTTCCTCAGACTACTAAAAATGGAGCTACCATAAGACCCAGCAATTCCACTCCTAGGGATCAACCAAAGGACACAGAAAGATACATGCGCTCCTATGTTTATTGCAGCACTACTTACATTAGGTAAATCCTGGAAACAACCCAAATGCCCAGAACTAAATGATTGTATCAAGATGTGGTGTATATACACAGTGGAATACTATTCAGGTTTCAAGCCTTTTAAGGACAGGATAACAGTCTTTCTTGGGGACAACGCTTATTTAATAATACAGTCTTCAGGACCCTCCATGGTGGCACACCAGGTTTAAGCTCAGCACTAAGAACCTAAAGCCACTTCAGCATGAGTTCGATCCCCGCCACGGAGGTGACCTAAATGGCGTGGCAGACCTCTCCTGACCTGCCCGCTGCTCCCCTCAGCAGTGTACTTCTTCATTCAGCCTGTTCTGTTCCCCACTCTGTCTCTGGTGAATCCTCTCGCTGCCCCTGCACCTCTGGCCTGCACCCCAGTTCTGTATGCATAAATAGTTAAATCTTTAAAAAAATAATAATACAGTCTTTAGAATGTATCTTTAAAGTTAAGTAACACATGACTTTATTTGCATTTAATATATTTGTATTTTGAGCTAGAACATTTAAATCTACTATCGTCTAGATGATTTGTTTCTTTTTCATTTGTTTATTGTATGCCAGTTGAATACATTTTAAATAGATTCCTCCCTTCCCCCTCCCTCCCTTCTACCCTCTCTCCCTCCCTTTCTCCTACCCTCCCTCCCATTCAGGATTCACCAGAGACAGTTGGGAGAGAACATTTAGATTTACTAAAAATCACTGCTAGGGGGAGCAGCAGGTGAGACAGAAGAGAACAGCTGAGCCAGAGCTGTATGTGGGTTAGCTTCCTGGCCAGGGATTGAACTCAGGCCATAGAAGTGATAGTGCTGAGACTTAACCATTGTGCCACTAGGGAAGATCCCAGCTGAGTATTTTTTTATGATTTTTAAAATATTTATTTCTCTTTACAGTTATGGTGATAACCTTGTGTTCCATATTTTTGGTCTTCTTTTTTTCCCTGTGTTTTCAAGTTAGGGTCATGTCTGTCCTATCTGTATTTCAATTCACTCAGTTATATCTTAAGTATTTGTCAGACTTTGTTTCCTGTCATCTCTAGTAATTTTTTATTGACTGTTTAGTATTACGCATTTTACATTGTTGAGTCCCAGGTTTTATTGTGTTTCTGTTGAAGAGTATGACACTTAGTTCTGTCAGAAGTTAACTTGCATTTGGATCAACTCCAAATTCTTCTGTGGCTTGTTTTTAAGTTTTATAGAATTGATTTAGAGTAAGCTTTTGGTATAGTTTAGCTCCATCGCCAAGACTTAAACTCTCCGATATATCCACTGAAAGCTTTGGATATTCAACAAGGACTTGCCATTTTTTAATGGCTTCTGAAACTGTAAGCTTTGCAAACTCTTCAACTTAACATAATTCTTGCCCATCCTCATGGAATTCTTAACCTATGTGGTGACTTTTCCCACAATAGACCTAATTGAACACCCATGCGGGTATCTCAAACTCTTTTTTTCATGCACTTGCCACTCCATCTTATAAATTTAGCTTCCTTGGCCTTTCTGAATTCTGAATTGAGGAAATTTTTATTTCCTCAATTCAAACTTAATGAGATCTCTTCTTTTCTTGGGGTCATCTTCCCTGCACCAAGATTCAAAAACTGCCTTTAGGCAGAAAGCTTTACTGATATTGGGAAAGTATCTCTAGGCAGAAAGTCAAGGCAGATGTCTGGCTTAACTACCATTTTATTTTCAGAACATTTTTCATCAGCATTTAGTCTGAAATGCCTACTCTGTGATTGTTTAGAGAATGTCTTAATTATCTTTGAAAAAATTAAAAAAACTGGTATTGTATCTACAGTCTTCAATTGTGTCATTAATAAAAAATTAACATTCTACCATCTTTTCCCCTTCACATGGCAGTCTATTGCCTATTGTAGATTAAAAAAAGAATTTATAATTAATTAGTTGTTTCATTTCTCATGTTTTTAGACCTAAAGATTGTCTTCGATCTATTATGAGGAGAGTGAACCATAAAGATCCTCATGTCGCCATGCAAGCTCTGACTGTAAGTGGTTTCATTTTAAGTTATACCACAAAATTATCTGCCAGATGTGAGCCCTTTTAACTTCTGTTTTTGTTTTTAGCTTCTAGGAGCATGTGTATCAAACTGTGGCAAAATTTTTCATTTAGAAGTTTGTTCAAGAGATTTTGCTAGCGAAGTAAGCAATGTATTAAACAAGGTAAGGAACATGATTTTCAGAATTGATTTAATGCAATCTACTTCATGTATGTATTTTACAGTTCAGTGCTTCACATTTTAAATCACAAAGGACTAGGTAATGTTTGTTTTTTTAACTCTTGCTAAGCTATATCTATGCTATATATAAGTAAATACTGTATTTTTCATTATAAGTTTATATAACTTGAGAGTTGGGTTTTTCCAAGTCAAATTAGAGCATTTAACCTCTTTTTCTTGATCTGAAAAGAAAAAAAACATTTCTTTCTCAGATAAATTCTACCAATTTATTTTAGGCCTAATTTTAAAATATTTTTGTAGGCACAGTGGTATTTTCTAGATGTAGAACTGTTTAGAAGTACTGCTGTTTTGTTTTCATCTTGACATAATAAGGCTACTACCTGACCATCACAGAATTTAATACTATATTGACTACTTAATTGAATATATATAAAATATCCAAATCCCACAATTCAAGGCATTTAAAAGACTTAATGAGTAATCTGTGAGTTTTCCCTGTGAAAATGAGTACATCTAAAGATAATTCTGCCTTTTTTGTTTTTGGCACATGTTAAGAAAAAAATTTAAAGTGTTAAAAGTGAAAATGCTTCAGATGTTTTTAGGAAAATGGATATTTTCATATTTCAAGTAAAAAATATGCAGAAATGTGATAAGAATTTTAAATTCTGTACTTTTTTCAAACATGATTCTGTAAAAAAAATTTTTCCTATTTGCTTCTTTTAAGTTAACACTTATGTATTTTCTTTTGATTAATAAACAAATCTTTTAATGTCCTCATTGTCTCTCAAAATACAGAGTTTTGTGTGTTAAACAGTGCATTTAAAAATTTGTACAACTTTTGGGTCCTCCCTGGTGGCGCAGTGGGTTAAAGCACAGTACTAAGAAGCTAAAGCCACTTCTGCATGAGTTCAATCCCCGCCTGCCCCGGAGGTGACCAAGTGGCGCGGCAGACCTCTCCTGACCCGCCCACTGCTCCCCTCAGCAGTGTACTTCTTAGATCTGCCTGTTCTGCTCCCCACTCTGTCTCTTGTTAAGCCTCTCACTCTCGCATCTCTGGCCTGTACCCCAGTTCTGTATGAATAAATAAATAAATTAATTAAAAAAAAATTTGTACAGCTTTCTATGGAGAGATTCTAATACCTTCTTTTTTTGTAACTTGACTGGTGATATGGCACTCATAATTATAGTTAGTAGTCACACTACAACTATTTGGGAAAACAAACAACTACTTAGAGAAGAAAGTGTTATTACTTTACAAGTGTTTTATAGTAAACATTACTCACTTTATACTGAAAAGGGAAGACATTATTTTGAAAAAAAAATTTCAGGAATAGTGACATATTTTAGACCTCAAACCAGGCATCAAAGAACTGGGGAAGGAAACACAGTCTTGCACTTTATTAAAAGTCAGGAATTAAGAATGAAGGAATATTAATATTTATATTATCCCTTCCAATTTATTTTTTATTGTCTTGTAAAAAGATAAACCAAATGACTTTTGTCTTCCTGATGAACAAAGCATGCTTAGTTTTAATATATTCTAAAATGTTCTGTCTTCCTGACCTTCAAAATAAGATGCTACATATTTGATTTGTTTTTATTTGAAATGAGGTACAAAGATGTATCTTTTTTTATAGTGTGAAAATAAAATTAGTATACTTCTTGTAATCAACTATATTTTCACATGTATCATCTGTAGCTAGGCATAATTTGTGATTCAAAAGGTGATTTGTACAACACTTAATTCTTATATTCAGGGTATATATATTAAATTCCCAAGGAATTAGTGCTTTTTAATAATTTTTTCTTCTATTTTTAGGGTCATCCTAAAGTGTGTGAGAAACTGAAGGCTCTTATGGTTGAATGGACAGATGAATTTAAGAATGATCCACAGCTTAGTCTAATATCAGCAATGATTAAGAATCTTAAGGAACAAGGAGTTAGTTTTCCAGCTATTGGCTCACAGGTATTTTGTAAAGTTTTGTGTACTATAGCTTTTTATTTTAAATTAGCCATGTATAAATTTTTTTCCCTCCAAACCCAGTCAGTTTGTTCCACTCCAGTGGAATGTTTGCTAGTAGTAATTACCTTGTATTTAAAGATGCCAGAAAATATTATAGTGGAGTATTAATGTGTCCCAACTTCTACTTTGCCTTATTTATAAATGAACTGATTTAACATTCTGCAGTAAAGTATTTCATATGGTTTTAATAGTATAGAAATAATTGCTTCAATTTAGGTAGCACTGACAATCTTGTTAAATGTTTTAATGCTGTGATTTTATTTACAAAGAATGACAGCTCAAAAATCAGGATATCCTTAAAATTTAAGGATGATTTTAGTAGTTCTTTTGACTGAGATTTATGAATATATACATTAAAAATGGTATTGGGCCAGTGGGAGGGAAGCATCTGAAACATCTTTTCCCTTAATAATACCTGACAAATATATCACTCTTCTTCCTTTCTCCTAATAGGTATAATTGATTGAAAGGTTTAACTTCTGATTCCAGAAAAGTTTACATAATATATGTCATAGAAAAAAAATGAAAGGATATCTTTTATTTTTTTATTTCTGGAAAACATATTTAGGATACCCAACTAATCAAGGGGATTTAAGATATGTGGTAATTTACTTTTTCCCCCCAGTAGATGAAGAAAAAACCCTCAGCTACCGAGGGCCCGATTTTGGGGTTTGACTACTTGAGGAAACCTTGTAGACTATTCACCTTTATCCAGACACTAGCATTTTTCTCAAGACGTTTTCATTTTATTTGAGTACAATGGAAATGTGAAGACTGAGATATATTTGGGAGATGAAGGAAGGAAAATACATTTTTCTTCTTAAACAGGAAATCTGATTGTAGTTTAGTTTAATCTTTAATAAGTATTTCTTCTTACTGATAGCTGAGTTTTACTATTCTCACAATAATTTCTAAGCTTTATATTAAAGGATAATTTTATGCTGAATAATCCATGGATACCTTATAATAAGTTTCTTAACAATAAAATCAATGTTTAATTATCGAAGAATAGACTTACTATAGAAAACAAATTGTATAGATGCTTAGCAAAATAATATTTCCAAATCCTGAGAACTTATTTTAGAACTTGTTACTCAAAATGTGGTTTGCTGGTCATTATCATCATCATCGTCATCATCATCTGGAAGTTTGTTAGAAACTAGTATATCACAGGTGCTATTCCAAGCTTGTGGATTCAGCATCTCCATTTGAACATGATTTTTGGATAATTTTATAAGCATGTACAAATTTGAGAAGCACTGCTCTTCAGTGCAACTACACTTCAGTCTACAAAGGCAATTTGTTCCTATAAGAGAAGGAAGAAGAATGAATGATCTGTTTGGTATGTAGTTTCATTTGGTTAACCTAGAATCTCAGATATTTGTGGGATCAACTTTAGAGATTCTCTAATCTAATCCCCTCATTTTACAGATGAGGAAACTGAGACCCAGAATGGTTAAGTGACTTGCCCAGGGCCACAGCTAGTAGTTGACAGAGCTGGAACTAGAACACAGGCCTCCTGACTCTCAGTCCAGTGTTCTTTCCACTACACGATCCTGTCTTCCGTTTGCTATAGAGGTTAGTGGATATGTGTCTGTACAGACTAGACTTCAAAGGATAAGAAGTGGAGTGAACACTGGCAAGAGCATTTATTAATTGCTTGGTATGTAAGTTAGGTTACTTTCAAAGAGTCAGGATGTGGATCTTCAATAGTAAACTTAAGAGTTTTCTTTCATCTAGATGTGATGAAATATGAAAGCTAATTTTGTTATAGTTGCCATTTTTTCAGATATGTAAAGTGCATATAAAGTAAGATATTTTTAGTAGTTTCTGAAAAGCTTATAGAAAACCATGTTTGTAGAAAGCTTCATGTTTAATGAAAAAAATATATCATCTAGCATCATCTAGTAGAACTCCCTTTAGATTTTAGTCACATTGTTGCTTAAGTCATTATTACATTTTATTCAGACTAGATCTTTCTCAGCATATTTAACAAAAGCTTCATAAAAATATAAGGCTTTTTAAAAAACATCCAAGTATAGAAGACTATGAAATGAAAACTCTAACTCATGCTGCTTCACTTCTCTCATCACAAATATTTCACTAGAAGTAAAGGTATCCTATCAGTACTATTGTTTTTGACTAGTTGATAAGTCAGGTATCATAGAACCTGATGCTAGAAAGGAACTTTGTAAAATGTACAGTTCTGGAATGTAGGGCTTAAGATACTTTTTTTTGGTACTTCCTTTTTCACTGATAGAAATTACTGCATATGCCACAGAAAGATTCATATGTGTGTATTATATATTCACTAAATGATGAAAAAAATTCACAAACAGTGGAAAAAGTACCAACAAGGCCTTGAACTTTCAGAGGTATCCGAATAAAGCATTGTTATCTAGCTAAAGATTATAACTAGATGGATCATACTGAGTACTTAAAGGTCTATTTGGTGAACTCCTGGGAGCTTTTTTTCTGATCAACTTTTCTAAAAATAAACTCTGCACTCGTTGGGTATGAAATATACTAAGCAAGGAATATGACTATATTTTACTGTAATGTGAAATATTTTACCTTTCATTCATTCAGGAATTATTGATTGTAAAATTTAGGCTCAAACTGTTAAGGAACATATAGCCTATTTGTGGAGACAAACATGCAAACAGATAATTATAATAGAAGCCGAGATATATTGCCTGTTACTATGTGTAGGCACAGTTCTCAGTGCTATACGTATGATAATTTTTAGAATTACATTTTTTTTAAACTGGTTACTGTGGGAATTAGAATATATATTATAGTTTTTCAAAATCTATTTAGAGTTAACATTATATTATTTCATGTAAATGTAGAAACTTTGCAACTGTGTAAGGTTGTTTATTCCCAGTTCAGCATCTTTTATGCTCTAGTTAACCATGTTATAGTTGTTATATCATTTTCATACATTGTGATTCCCAGGAGACAGTGTTTTATTTTTGTTTTAAAATACAAATGATTCCCATTGCATCTGATTTTGGGAGAGATTTGTGTTGGTTTACTCCAACAGTTTGTCATGTATAATTGCTATTACTATCCTTACTTTGAAGATGAGGAACTTGAGGCAGAAAGAAGTTAATATATCCAAAGCCACACATTAGAGAGTGATAGATCTGGCATTTTGAACCTACTTGCCTGACTATGGAGTTTTTGACACCACAGCTTGTGATCTTACCCATCCATATTAGAGTTTTATTAGAGGAAAACACAGGAAGGAATATCTTTAATACAGGGGTTTAGGACTATTTCATTAAGAGAGTGATATTTTGGCTGTTTGTTGACCAGTGACTGAAAACTTAACAGGAAAAGACGTGAATGGAGTAAAAGGAACCATAATGAGGACATTATAAATAGAGGCAAATGTATATTCAAGATATAAAAGTACCAGTTAATGTATTCTAGAAATTTCTTATAACTGATAGAAAATGACGCTAGTAAGGTGCACTGAGTATGATTTGACTTGATTGCTCTAGGAAGCCTGAGGCCACTGTGACTTAGAAGCTTATATTAAGTGTTGATCTTAAGTGTTTATCCTTTTGTGTATTTGTTTACTTATACTTTCAGTTAACTACTTATTATATTGGTTTACACAATAGGATAATTTCACGAGTATTTATATTATAAAAACTTGGGTGCCAAAGGAAGAATCTGGGCTCCTGATTATTTGATTTGGAAGGAAGCAATAAACCTTGAAAAGAGATGTTAAATTTATAAAAATAAAAGTGAACACTTTGAGAATAACCATCTCCTTCCTTCCTTCTCCCAATCCCTTTTCTGGTTTTAGAATTTTTTTTCTAAAAATTTTCACATCTCTTCTAGTCTTCTCTAATTTTCATCTGGTTCACTTTCAGCTTATTCACTTAACACCCGTCTGGGCGAGCATGTAGGCGGTCTGCTCTCAGTACCCAGCTGTTCTCAGTCTTATTGTCACCGTCAGCTTTCAGAATGGAGGCTGCTACATTTTGATTTTTTTCTACTTCAGAAGTGTGTAGTAAATTAACAAGAAATCTTGTAAGCTGTTAGATTAGTAGGGGTAGGAAATTTTGAGAACAATCCTCATTTTGTGTTCCATTTTTGTGTTAGGCTGCAGAACAGGCAAAAGCAAGCCCAGCCCTGGTAGCCAAAGATCCTGGTACTGTGGCAAACAAAAAGGAAGAAGAAGATTTGGCAAAAGGTACATTTTTAAGTTCCTGAAAAGATGGTTCTTTGATTTAATATTTTTCCCTGAAGTAATTAAAAATAAAAGTAGGATGTCATTTTCCTATGACCATTTTAAAGCTTTGTCTTCCCATTAGGCCTTTTATCAATTTAGAACAGAGGTGGGAGGAAAGGTTATGGGTTAAGATTGCATTGCAGAGCGTGAGAAAAACTTGGTGTTGGTCTTCATTAGAGAAGGATGGTGATGAACTCTATCCTGGGAGAATCTAAAGTGAGAATTCCTGTAGTTACTTACTATTTCTTCTTCTTATGCCAATTATATAATAATTACTTTAGAACAATAAATTATAGGTGCTGAGATGACTACCTTTTGAGGTTATGATTTAGTAACTCCTCAATGAGGGTTCGGATTTTGGATTTTCCAACTGATTTTGATAACATTAAATGACAGCTAAACTTAAAAAAACATTTAAAGGTTCCTAATAACCCATCTGTTATTTAAATTGTATCTGTAAATAAAACTAGTTGTCATGCTGTCCATTGTTTTTAAGTTTTCTGTTGTGAATGAATCATTACAATTGAGAAAATAATTTTTACTTAGTATGTTATATAATGATATGCCCTAGTTTTCAGCTACGCTATTGTGAAAGAATTTTTACCATTAGACAACTTTTTTCTGCTTCTTTGGTATGTTGACTTTATTAAAATTTTGGGTCTTTTAAAATCCATTATTTTCAGTGATAATAATGAACAGCTATATACCAGAGACATTTTATGGGGATGGAGTGGGAAATGTGATCAACAACAGTAGGGGGAGGGAAATGCACTGGACTGTGGTGATGGCACATGTGTAATTTGCTGATGGGAAGCCCACAGGATTACAACTGAGATGGAAAAATGCACAAAATGATGTAAAAATAAACTATTATTTATTTAAAAAAAATTATTTTCCAGCCATTGAGTTGTCCCTGAAGGAACAAAGGCAGCAGTCAACCACCCTTTCCAGTTTGTATCCAAGCACATCTAATCTTGTAACTAACCACCATCATGAAGGCCGAAAAGTTCGCGCTATATATGACTTTGAAGCTGCTGAGGATAATGAACTTACGTTTAAAGCTGGAGAAATTATTACAGTTCTTGATGACAGGTAATGGTTAATATTGAATTGAACATTCATATGAAAACATAACATTTTATTTCTGTATGTCTTTCATATTATTCCTGTTGAATGCTGTTACTAAATGTAATTTAAAAATATCAACTCAGATGTGTGTGCCATTTGCTTGCTTTGCTTGGTCATACTGTCTGGATTCATATTGTGATGAATTTTTTTCTCATCTACTATTTATTATTTTGGGTGGATACCTAGTTGTATATATTCATTTTTGGTTCTGGCAAATGATACAGATTGTTAAACTTATAAAAAGTTAAGATTTTAGAAAATACATAGAATATATTTTATGAGCAGGTATATATGGAATTTGTACTTAAGAAACACATAATATATTGAATTTATTTACCTTGAACAATACATCCATGTGGAACAACATAATTTGACACGAGTTATATATGTTTATATTATTATCAGGGAAGTAACACATTTTGTTTATTACAGCTTTGTGTTTACTTAAAATTATTGATGGTTGTTACTGATAATGAAGTAATAAGAATTGCAAGTAGTTTTGGAAATGAAGTCAAATAGATTTATTGTTATTTCTATAGTATCACACTTGTTTTCTAGCATGTTCTCTTAAGTGGGGGGAAATGAATTTTGAGGTGGTTCACTGGAAGTTGTGTAAAGCCTTGATCATTCATTCAGAAATATTCAAGAGTTTGCTATCTTCTACTAACGTGGGGATATAATGTTGAACAGGTGTTTGTATTTGTGTATATCTAGTGAATATTTTATTAGTTTATGTGTTCTCTTATGGGGAAAAAGAACTTGCTACTGTGTAGAAGAAAAAGTACTGGAATGGAAACCAAGATTTAGAGTGTATTGTTCTTCTTATTAAAGCTTCTCACTGTGGTACTTATGAACTACCTGGATTTGACAATTCTTAAGTGTGTTGGGAGGGGAGTCTCTTGATTTTTAGCCTTTTTATTATTGCTATTATTATTAGATCTTCAAAATACTCCTGCCTTCCAAAAGATAAAGAATTGTATGTTTAATAGCTAGTTATTTTCTCTGAGGCCTTAACTTCTTATTTGTAATAATGATGCCTTTATCATCTACTTCTCTAGGTTGTGGTCCAATTCATATCTTAAACACTATCAAGGACAGATTTTTAGAATAAAATTTCATATTATGTAGTAAAGCATTCCTTTTTATTCCTCATAGTGATCCCAACTGGTGGAAAGGTGAAACTCATCAGAGCATGGGTTTGTTTCCATCTAATTTTGTGACTGCAGATCTCACTGCTGAACCAGAAATGAGTAAGTATTTTCAGTCTGTTAGTTGATTATCCACAGATGTTTTCTTAAAGAAAGCTGTGTAAATTCAGCATTCTGGTGCAAGACATATAAATGACATATTTTTTGTTTATGTGCATGCAAGTTGTTAAAAATGCAGCTCTCTGAGCTTTAGATTTTTTATCAAAAATCATGTGATCACCTAAGAATTGAAATTAAATCACCTTTCTTACCAAGATTGTCTGTAAAATGAAGCTAAAAAAGCATGAAATTTATGAATTATCTATTTAATTTTTGATAAAAGTGTGATGAATGCAGTGTGACCACACTGAGAATTCTTCCTATTCAGAGTTTGAGCCTATTTCTCTAGTAACTAGCAGTGACTTTTAAGCTGTATAGGTGACTGTAAGCTCCTATGTCAGACATTAAGTTATCATAAACATAAAAGCATGGTATTTTATTGATTTTCAAACCTTTGCTGATTAGGAGAAATGAATTAGAAAGTGAGACTTGAAAGGAAAAATGGTATTAGAGGTAGGCATAATAGACATAAGACATGTAACAGCTGGTAGTTTATCAGAATTCCTGCATATCCTGTAATGTATTTTCATAGTGATGGTTTCTTCAAGAAAGTTTTTATACTATATCTCTGTTTAAGAAAAAACATATATATGTTCTACTCTAAAAAGATATCTGTTAGTCATTACAGTGTTTAGTGTTTTAAAAGTTCTGTATATAAATTGATAGCTATAGTTTGGCAAGTTTTTGCTTGTCATCTTTCTATAATGCCAGAAGAGGGAATGGGTGAAAGTCATACAGTAAAAGATGCTTATATTATTTTTTGTTTATGAGAATGTTAAGAAATCTTTGTAAAATCACAGGATCTTTGTCTTAGTCATCTTTTTATTTTCCCTGCATCTTATCCGGAATATAAACTATATACATATTCATATAATAAGTTATACATAAAATATTTATTAACATTAAAGAGATAATTTTTTAAAAACTTAAGAACATTTCTCTTTAGGAAAGGTTTTAACAACAAACGAGATGATATAGATCTTTGGTAAAATGATGCCCTCTCATAGTACCAGATTTTCTGGGGTAATTTTTATAGAGATAGATTCCCATTCTTTTAATGGAGTTTACTTATTTTTAAGTTTCAGAAACACATTGCAGCACTTAGATTAAATGGTTAGTTTTTTTGCTTGATTTTTGCTCATCTATTTGAAAGGACAGAATTGTCTTGAAGTTTTGTCAAAATGAAAATGGAAATGTCATGAAGATCATATCTCATCCTTTTTTTGCATTAAACATCAATGCAGCTGCAAAATTTTGTTGTAGCTCTTCTCATAAACATCGCTTTGGACCATATGGATAAGAAATAGGAGCAGATAATTCTAATCTTAGAAAAACAAGCTTAAGCGAGGTCCTTGAAGCATCATTTTTATAAGGCAACAGGCCCACTTAATGTGTTAAATAAGATAGTTGACCTTGTTGGTTTGTTTCTGCTTTGGAGATTTAGTAAGATGTTATGGAAACACTATCTTTTATACATATGAAAGTAATTTCATATACATATGCACTCATGTGTACACACATGCCTATAGAAAAGCATTAGTTCTATGAGTGCTGCAGACTTGTGTATCATCAGCTGTTAGGATGTGAAATTCACCATGTGTTCTCTTATGGGCAACAGCCAGTGAAATACAGTGCTTTCCCAGCTTTCTACTTGTTAATGGCTCAAGTTATAAAAAGTTATAAAAAGTTAAAATAAGTAGCAGATGTCTCTCCCCAACCCCTATGGGAAAATAAAATTAGCTGAACTTTTTTTATATGTTGAATTGTCTTTGTGAAGTCTTGAATGGAATGAATATATTCCTTATGCTGGAAATTATACTATTTTAATTTTCTATGGAATCACACAGTGCAGAATATGTAAATGATTTGACTTCTTGTTCTCAGTACAATCACACACAAATTCCAGTAATATGGGTCCAGTGGAAAAAGATTGGTATTCAAACCCAGGTTTTGCTATTTGTTAGCTCTCTGTTACACAAGAGTTTTTAAAAATTTTTTAAAGTCATAGTTCACCTCATTTATAAGATAGACATATTTCATGGACTTGCAATTCCACATTAAAGAAAATGTAATATTCCAACAAGACTGTTTAATAGTTTTGTAAACATTCCCTTTCTTAATTTTACCTTTCTAATGCCTCTTGCATTTGATTCTTAATATTTTTATGAATATTGACTACATTGATTTATAATGAGAAAGGAGTTTCATTCCTTTAAACTATCTTCTTGTTAGTATTTTGAAAAAGGTTAATTGGTATGTTGATCATAACTTTATTCACTGTTACATTAAATAGTTTTTAAAAGATTTTTTTGTTGAACAAAATACTGAAAAATTTATTCTTCTGACCAATGTCTTGATGATTTGTTAATAACACACTTTTGCACTGCAAAAATAATATAGCTGAAAAATACAGACTTCTTTATTGGAAATATCAGATCTCTGCCAAGTTGCAAAATTCTTTACTGTTCTGGATGTTAGGAAAACATCTGAGTGGAGTGCTGTAGAATATATAGCTAACTTTCCAATTCATTTTATTGGAAAAAGGTGACTTAGTAAATGAAATATTCCATTGAAAGGGTTGGTATTTTATAAAGAAGATTCATTTTAAGTTGTGGAGTTCATTAATGCCTTTGTAATAGTTTTTTTTTTTTGTTGTTCTCCACTTTTAAACTTGTGTAATAGATACACTCTATTATATAGTAGATTACGAACAGTCTTTTCTTCAGAACTATAATTTTTGTTTTTAGTGGAGAATCTTTTATGGAAGAGATAAAACCTTTAGAAGAGAAAATGAGGGAATCTTGACACAATTTCGTAAAGTAATGTTCTGTTACTATTGCCTAAATCAACAGTGTAATTATTTATTCGAGTCTCAGCCTACAGGAGTATAAGACAAACACAAATTCGCTCTTGAAACTTAAAGGGCTTTAAAATAAATTTAAAATTTATTATAAGGAAAGATAAAAATGTCTGTTTTACAGTTAAAACAGAGAAGAAGACCGTACAATTTAGTGATGATGTTCAGGTAGAAACAATAGAGCCAGAGCCGGAACAAGCCTTTATTGATGAAGTAAGTGATTTATTCCCATGGTGAGAGTGGGTGATGACTTGGTTTTGAAGTGTCTTGTCTTGCCTTCTTTCAAAAAGCTGGTTACTTGATTGATGCATATGTATATTCTAATTATGAAACTTTTAGCAGTACAATGTAACTAAAGATTCTTTTTGAAGCTTCCTCTAGTTCCAGTCTTAATATGTCAATAGTTATAGATATACCTCATTAAATTTGTGCTTGATAGTTCCAGAATGGATTTATCTTGATTTATTATTCTGTTGAATATGTAGGTTGTTTCCAGTTTTTTTTCTTTTGGTATTACACTATCCAAAAGATTTTTGTTTGACTTGCATAAAAGGATAAAACTTATTTTAAAAACTCAGTATGTTTTAATGTTCTAGAAATTATATCCTTTGTAACAATTTAAACTTATGGTGAAAAAATGAGATATCTTTAAAATATGTGAAAGCATTTATAGGTTATTACTATCCTTTTATAACATTTGCGGGGGGCAGCTACTGAGGGGTATCGAAGAACCTGAGGTATGGGCCAAAAATGCAGAGGGTGAGAAGATTCACCAGGGACAAAGTGGAGAGCAGAACAGGTGGATTTCCTGAAATACACTGATAAGGGGTAGTGAGAAGAGATCTTCTGTGTCCTATATGGGTTAACATCCTTGTCAGGGATCAAATTCAGGTTATATCTGTGGTACCCTGAGATTTAACCCACAGGCCACCAGGGACGCCCTGTAAATACTTTTTTATGGGAGATGGAAGCAGAAAGTTTGAAGAGTGCACTTGTAGAAAAACTGATTGTAGAAAACTCTGCGAAGAGCCAGGGAATCTTAACTTGGTCAAGAAAAGTTTGGTTGATTTCATTATATAAAAATTACATCAGAGTAAGACAAATGGTCTTTCTAGAAACTTTATACCTCTGACAATAGATCACTTCATTTAAGGTGTAGTATTCTGTACATAAACAAAAATTACCCATATGTTAGTTGACTCAGTTTTATTTGCCTACCTTCCCTTTTGCTTGTTGTCAGCAAAATTTTCTGAAACGTGCCTTCATTTTTTTTTTTAAAGATTTATTTATTTATTCGTACAGAACTGGGGTACAGGCCAGAGATGTGGAGGGTGAGAGGATTCACCAGGGACAGAGTGGGGAGCAGAACAGGCAGATCAACGAAGTACACTGCTGAGGGGAGCAGCGGGCGGGTCAGGAGAGGTCTGCCACGCCATGTGGATCTCCTCCAGGGCAGGCGGGGATCGAACTCATGCGGAAGTGGCTTTAGCTTCTTAGTGCAGTGCTTTAACCCGCTGCGCCACCAGGGAGGGCCAACGAGCCTTCATTTTTCAGGGTACATAAATTGTCCTTCACATTGTAAACTAGTATACATTTCAGAATACAAAGTTCTTTTGACTTGGGAAGAATTTTTTCTTTTTCCAGTGATTAGTTTACTTTAAAATTATTTTTACATCTTTATAGAATACAGTTTTAAATGGCTATAAAAGAATTTGGCTTGGTAGTCTTTAAATTATTTACCATTCATAGTGTATTTTGTAGCATGACCACATAAAAACTATAAATGGAGAAAAGTTTGTAATTAGCATAGTGCTCTTTGATACATTAAATGTGTTTTGATTTTTAAAAACAAATATTAAATAAATATGTACTTTTATAATGTATACTTGTTTTTATTTAACCATGTTTTCATTTGTTGCATTGGTTTTATAACAAAAGACTCTGAAATAGACCTGAGTCATTACTCAAGATACCTTCCTACCTTTCCACTGTATGAGATTAGCAAACCCTTCAAAATCTTCTTCCTTCTTTTTGTGACAAATGGAAATATTGGTGTAAATAAAATGGAGTATAAATCTTTACTCCCCTAGTTAGAAAAAAACTGTAATATGGCTGAGTTATGCCTTGCTTGAACAGCTGCTGTGTTCCATAGTGGGGAATAAATAACTGAGTTGTTAGTCATAAGTAATGCCATCTTGCAAGAGATGTTACACCTGTTAGCATGGCTTGGCTTCTGCTTCCAAATGAAGTGATACAGAAATCTGTTACTATGACATGAGTCTGAAGAACTCACACATTGGAAGTTCAAATGTGGTTCTCTTTTCCTTATTAAGAGAATTACTGTTAGCATTACAAAAATATTTAACCTTGGTTAAGGAAAATACATGAGTACTATATACATAAAAGCAAAATTGAAAACCCTGTAATTATAAATTGCAGAAGTTCATAATCTGTTGCATAATGGTTGTTTTTGATAGTAACTCTTTAAAAATTCTTCTAGGATAAAATGGATCAATTGCTGCAGATGTTGCAAAGTACAGATCCCAGCGATGATCAGCCAGATCTTCCAGAGTTACTTCACCTTGAAGGTAAACCTTGCTTTCTGTTTACCTTGAGAACAAAGAATAATTTTATTTAGTGTTCTGTTACACAATAGTTTTTCATTTAAATAAAATTGAGAATGACATTAAAAATGGCTGACATTTCCCATTCTTCTGTGGCCCAGACTTACTCTTATATGCAATTTAAACCTTTGGTAAAATTTTAATTCTTATACTTTTCTATCTAAATTAAATATTCAGCATTTTAGAAACAGACATTAAATTTTGGATAGCAATACTTTAAGTAGCCACAAATTACTTTAAAATAATCTTACTTCAAGAATTAAATTTGTTCTTTAGGCTAAGGTAAATTCACCTAATTTTTTATTGCTTCAAAATAGATTCTTTAATGCTGCTACTACAGCAATATCTGCTGAAGGTCTTTTTTCATTTGCTGCATTTTCTAATATTTTTTCAAATTTTTTCTCAGCAATGTGTCACCAGATGGGACCTCTCATTGATGAAAAGTTGGAAGATATTGATAGGTAAGAATATAAACTGTGTCAGTATTGTATATTGAATTCCCTGGAGTTCTCTCTAAATTGTATACTGGAGTAGAGCTGGCCTTAAAAAAAAAAATGCCAGAGCAACCAGTTCTCATTCACTTGTTATTTTACTCTGTGGAAATTAAAATTAGACCTGACCTTTTTTGTGTGTAAAGACATAGCTGATCATTTTTTTAATCATTTTTTAAAATGAAGGTAAGCCAGCTATTATCATGTTTGCATAAGTGGCAGCAGAGGCCACAGATAACCTATATATTGGGAAATCTAGATACTTTGAGGTAAAATCATATATGACAAAAGCTAGAATTCCCTAGCATAGTACCTGTACCTAACCCTTAGAGAACCATTTTGATGGTCTCAGAGCTAAAATATTTGTCACAAGTTTAAATTTTTAATAGCATTGCCTTTCATCATTTTTTGACTTTTTGATTTTTGCTGTCTCATTAGAACTCTTAACATTTAAATGTTTCAGAAAACATTCAGAACTGTCAGAGCTTAACGTTAAAGTGATGGAGGCACTTTCCTTGTATACCAAGTTAATGAATGAAGATCCGATGTATTCCATGTATGCAAAATTACAAACTCAGCAGTATTACATGCAGTCCTCTGGTGTTTCAGGTTCTCAGGTAAGCTTTTCAAAACTCAAGACTGTTTGGAATGGTTGTTTTTGTAAATGTGAAACTTTATTACTGTGTGGAAGAATTTTTTACTTGACAAATGAAGTATATAAATGCACTAGTTGTACCAGTAGTCCTTTGGTTAAAATTTTTGTTTCTTTTTGTTTCGGAAAGGGTGTGCAACAGAATAACCAGGCTTAAAAATACCCCTCCCCTGTTGAACCAGTCTTTAGGAATGAGGCCCAAACATCTGTTTTAAAGCTTCATATATAATTATGTGGTTTAAGGTAGTTTTTGTCTCTCTAGTCCTTATCTTGCTAAGGTAATTTTTATGTACCTAGTATATTTTCTAAAAATTTTTATTTTTACAGTAATATTTATATTTATAGCTTTCCATTTTAGTGAGATGCTGTGGTCTAGAGGTTTCTCAATGTTTTACATACCATGTTTAGTCATTTTCCCTCTCTCCACCCCACGCAACTGTTCAATAATTGCTTTCTACAATTTTACTAAGTTCAAGACGCAGGGAGTAATTAGTTTGGCACTCTATTTTATTCATGTAGAGTGGTACAGACCTTTTCAGACTTAATTTTTTAGAATATCTGCTTTCCCTGAAATAAAGTGGTGAACAGATAGGCCTAAAAAATAAGGGATTTGATGATGTAGTGACACCTGCTCTGGAGTCTTGATCACCACTTTGAACCAGAAAATAAAACTAGTGCGTTCAATTTGTGAATTACACAGAAAAATGCATTTAAAAGGCCTGTAGTAACTGGGTTTATAATAAGGACCGATTGAATTATGATTTATAAGTCTCCTTATAGTTTAACAGAAGTATCAATGTAATTGTCTTTTCTCCTTTTACTATTGTAACACCTGATGTTCTCTTTTTAAATTTGTGAAAATGAAAGATCTAATGAATATTACAGAAAATTGAAATGTATGTGTGTTGAACATCTTGAGCACTTAAGCCTTCAATTTCTCTAGATTAAAACAAGTACAGATTTTAGATTCAGAAACAACGACCAAGGACCAAATCCAGCCTTCCACTTGTTATTTTGATAAGCAGGTATTGGATGCAATTATTCTTAATTCCTTTGTGCATTGTTTTGTGTCTGCTTTCTACATAGGCAGGCGGTATTTGGCTACAAAGCCTAAATTATCTAGTATCTGAATCTTTACCCGTAAGTTTTTGACATCTAAGTTAGACAGTTTGCAGAATGTTCAATAAATTGCAAGTTAGGAAATTTAATAAACAAATGAAGTCCAGTGATATAAAACAATAGTTCGAATAGACTTCCTAAACATTCCTTGGTATTCTTTTTAAGGTAGTACTTAAAATATTAACATGGAAAGAGAAATCATATTAGTATAAAGTTTCTAGATGAGTTCCTTTGCTGCTTATCTATGGACATAAACATGAAATTAACCAGTGTTTGCCTTAACAAAAATTCAAAAACCCACTTCACCGAAAAGTGTTTCTTTAAATGCCTATCAACAGAACTCACTTTTTAAAAAGATTGCATATATATGATTGTTCTTTTTCTAACTAAATGCTTCTCAAGGAAAGTTTGAGATGCCTAAGAAATCTAATTTACTTTATCATTAACTGTTTTAGGTTTACCCAGGACCTCCTCAGAGTGGTGCTTACATGGTGGCAGGGAATGCACAGATGAGCCACCTCCAGACCTACAGTCTTCCCCCAGAACAACTGTCTTCTCTCAGCCAAGGAGCAGTTCCACCACCTGCAAACCAAGCCCTTCCTAATCAGCAGACTCAGGCTTCTTATCCTAAGTAATTTGATTATTGATTATTACTTGAATTTAGTGCTGTTGAGACTTTTAAATTGTCTTGTTCATCTGTAACCATAAGAAAATCCATGATAGATACATCTCTGATACCAGATATGAATTCCTGTTTGTGGTGTCAAGTGGAGGTTATGGGAAGGTGTGTGTATGCGTGTATGTATGTACATAAATGGGAAGACGAGAATAACGGTAACAGGAAATGGAGAATAAAAATTTAGAAGAAATGTGAATTGAGCTTGGAAAAGTATACTTGATACATGTGTGCATTGTATTTGCAGTTAACAGCAGATATTGGCGCTTTCTAGTTACAAGTGAAGGTCAGTGTGGGTTTTTGTTGTGGTCAGTGTGGGTTTTTCTTGTGGTTGTTTACGGTAGGCAGTTTCTTTTTAGTGCTTCCATTTGATACCTAGGAAGCAAGTGTGATTTACAGTCTTTTAACTTCAAATTGCCCACTGGCTAGTAGGCAGACTCACAGTAAGACTGTAATAGTTGGCTTCCTCTTGATTGTCTTTTTCTTGTGCATCTCCTGTACATCTCCTTGACATCCAAAATTGTGCTGTTTCTTCCTCCCCTAGTTGTTAATCCTTATCTGCAGAGGTGGCCATTCCATCGGTTACTCATTTCTAAAACCTGAGGCATTCTTGACACTTCCTTCTGTTGGTAAATGTTGATGGCATTGCCTTGAGAGTCTGACCCTACATTACCCTCTTCTCCATGTCTACCATGACTAGCTGCTTGTCAGCTCACACCTGAATGGTTGTAATTGCTTCCAGTTTGGTATCCAGACTTCTGTCCTTGTCCCAGAATGACAGCCTATTAAACTAAGTCAAAGTCACATCCCCCTTCTCTCCCAAACCAAGAAGTGGCTTTCCATTACAATCAGATAAACCAGAATCCTTACATGGTCTACAAGGCACTAAGTTACAAGACTCCTCTTCCCCTTAATTCTGTCACTTTACCTAATGCCACTCTCTGCTTTACTTACTCTGTTTCAGCAATTGTAGTCTCTTTATTATTTCTAGGAGATTTCTGGCATTTTCTCTTCTCACACTCCACTGTACTTTGCAGTATTCTTTGCCCAATAAAGCTTCCTCCCCCAGGTATTCATTATGACTCATTCCCTCATTTTTTAAAAGTCTCTTTTTAAATGTTGCCTTATCTGTAAGACCCAATTGACTGAAATTTCTTGTTGCAAGTATTCTTGGTCCTCCTACTGCTTCATACCAGTTATTACCATTTAACATCCTAGAACTTCTTTGAATCATCTAAAATGGCACTATTTGTCACATTGTAGATATTTAATAGTTATTGAATGGATTGAGCAAATGAAAGTTTAATAAATAGCTTTCCTGTTTAACTGTGTATATAAGTCAGTGTCTATCTAACTGAATGTTTCTTACCCTCCACAGCACAATGGTTGGTTCTGTTCAAGGAAGTACATATCCCAACCAGGCTTCAGTATACAGCCCTCCACCAGCTGCTGCTGCTGCTGCTGCTGATGTCACTATCTATCAGAATGCAGGAACTATGTCCCAAGTGCCAAACTATAATTTGACATCATCAGCACTGCCTCAGCCAGGAGGCAGTCAACAGCCACCTCAGCCACAACAACCATATTCTCAGAAGGCTCTGCTATAGGACTTGGGATTTCTCTTTATGACAGATATCTGCTAATTGTCACCAACAACGCAGTGAGATTGTTTAATATCTTAAGATTTGTTTAATCCTCAGCTTATAGGAATCTATCTTGGTCAACAAGTTCAGATATTCAAGAAGGTAGATCTCTCTTCAATTTGCACTGACTTTTTAGAGTTGTTCCCTCTCCTCCTCCCCCCAGTCCCTGGAGGAATGAAGCTACTTAAAACATTTAATTCCTTTCATATTATGAAAGAATTGATGTAAGATTATTTGTCTCATAAACTTATCTGATCTGCAAAAAAGTCAAACTTACAGAAACTGTTGTGGCATATGTTATGTACATATATATTGATGTGTAATTTCATTAGTGGCCATTTTAAATCACAGTGGTGATCATGTGAATATATTTAACACTGTTAAATTAATTTACATTGCTGTTTTATTTTAATCATGAACAACTACCATGTTTCATAATGTTTTGTGTAAATTTAAGATAACTACACTATCCTAATCTGCAAGAGAACAAAGTTGTAGCATATTTACATGAAGGCATTCTGTTGTCTGTATTTCAGTTTCACATTAAACTGAAACTTCCTTGACTAATTGCAAACTAAACATATGTATGTTATATCTTTCTGTTAGCCTCTGCATACTGCTAGCTGTCATCAGACCAGCATACAGCAGCTAAATTTTTGGTGTGATTATAGAAAATGATGATGTTCTCTTTTTTTTTTTTTTTTTAAGATTTATTTATTTATTCATACAGAACTGGGGTACAATCCAGAGATGCAGAGGGTGAGAGGATTCATCAGGGATAGTGGGGATCAGAACAGGCAGATGGACGAAGTACACTGCTGAGGGGAGCAGCAGGCGGGTCAGGAGAGGTCTGCCACGCCATGTGGTCACCTCCGGGGCAGGCGGGAATCGAACTCATGCGGAAGTGGTTTAAGCTTCTTAGTGCTGTGCTTTAACCCGCTGCACCACCAGGGAGGGCCCATGATGTTCCCTTTTAAACATTACATTTTAGCATGGCATTTCAGAATATTGTGGGATCATGAGACTGTTTTTAATCTCTTTTTTTTTTCTTTTTAAAGAAGTGGTGTTGATTTACCTTTTTCTGACTGGAAACAGTAATTAGTTTCTGATCTGTATACTGTTTATTGGTGACAGTGACACCAAAGATAGAGGCAATGGATAGAAATTTTTAAACTGGAAAGAAGATGTGAATTATACTACATTTTCAGAATCTCTTGTAATTATTTAGGATATAAACAAAATTTGATTCATTTGTCTTATCCTACCAGTAGTCTTTTAAATATGTCTTTAACACTTTGTACCCTTTAATTCTTCATTAAAATAGATATATATATAGATGTTTCAAAGTAACCTATGTTTCTTAACAATTTGCGTATTTATCTTTAGACTGGATTTGGGCACTGTTCTCTTTTAAAGTTCTTATATATTTGTTTTGCTTCCTATTCAAGTTAACTTTTGAATGAATGCTTTTCTTCTAATCCATATGAAATATGTTTCTTACCAACATTTTAATCTTAAATATTCATAATTTCCCCATTTATACAAATTTTACTATTATTTAACACTGTTATTTAAACAGTTGAGAAAATGAGTTGAGCATCACATTCAATTAATTTATTTAACAGATTTTATGCCTTGAATAAAAATTTAATTTGGTGGCTAATTTCATAGGTTCAGTTTTTACCTGCCATTTTGAATGCAAATGTTTCACTCTCATATGTTTTCCTGAGTGTAGAATATGTTGTATTTTTCTCTTTGTCTTTGACAAATCCCTATTTACCAATGATAAATGTGTCTTTTCCCAATTATACTTTAATATCCTTTATGCTGTTCAGTATAGTCTGGTATGCTTTTGCCCTGCAATAGTCTAAGAAAGGTAAAGTGAAAAAGAAGCTGTCCTTATTGAAATGCATATAAAATTTTCTTTACCTTATATTTTGATAGGATTATAAAGGTTTAAGTGATGATATATAAAACTGACACTATTTGTGCTTTTAATTTACGAGGTATAAAAATAATGTGGAAAAATTCCTATAAAGGAGAACCATTTGGTTTTCTAATGATGTGACAAGGACACTAATAAGAAAGATTCAGTTATGAGCACAGGTGGTTTTATTCTGAAAGTATATTTATTGTACTTTAACAATCTTTCTTTAAAATATAGCTGTTTCCTTTTTGAAGTGATGGAATTATTTATAAAATGGTCTAACATAATGTAAATTTCTATGAATCAAATTTTACTTTTCAGTTTATTTCCTTGATAAGCTTGAGTGTGTTTCCACAAACTGTTGACACCTTTGTGGAAAAGCCCAGTCCTTTTACTTATATGGCATAAATAGCTGACAAATCCTATAGCTAATTAGATGTGATAATAATTTATTAGTATGCTAAAACTTTCCTTTTACTTATATGGCATAAATAGCTGACAAATCCTATAGCTAATTAGATGTGATAATAATTTATTAGTATGCTAAAACTTTCCTTTTACTTATATGGCATAAATAGCTGACAAATCCTATAGCTAATTAGATGTGATAATAATTTATTAGTACGCTAAAACTTACTAGCATATACTTAATGGACAATACAGTCTTGTCTAACTCTGGTTCTCCTTTACTGTTACATATCTCTCCTACTTCATGAGGCCTTTTTATGTACCCAGATATTCCCTACTTTTTATTAAAAGATTCAACTTTATTTCTATACCTTTTAATTTTTGCATTTAAAATGCTAATGGACCACTGAATATCATTCCTGATACAGCCTTCATATTTAGCTTGAAAATATCTTTAGTCCAAAGCTTCTAGTTTATATAAGGCAAATTAGTGTTTTATGTTGTAAACTATGCAACTCTAAAAACTGTTATTAGTTATTTTTTAAAATAAGGTCCACTGGTAAAGTTGACCAGATTTCTATCTGTTCATTATATAAAAATCACTGTTTCCTTTTTCTATTTCCTTGGTTTATTTACCAGTTGTACTAGTAATTATAGCTATATCAGTTTCAAAATAGTTAATAATAAAACTGTAGTTTAAATTTTTCAGTATTGAATCATTTTTTTAAAATTTTCAGTCTCGTTGATTAACTTAGAATATATAGGAGAAGCTTGTTTAAATATTTTCTCAAAACCTTTACATTCAGTTATCTTTTGTTTTAGGATGATGGTTAAAGTGTTCTTGTTAAATATCTGGGTTATTTTCTCTACTTTTTATAGTGACATGTCCCTTGGTTTTTAAACACACTGAGTTTTATATATCATTTTCTAGTGTGTTCTTCCTTGAAATTCTAATGCTCACTAATAATTTTTTTCTGAAGTATTCCTAGCTTCAGCAGTATGTTTTGCTCATACAGCATTTTAAGTTTCCATATTGCTGAACAAAATTCAGCATTTTATTGTCAATAACTTAGGGTCATAAAGTACTTCGCTGATTTTCTGACTCTTAACTTATGCTAATACTTCCTACTACCATCACTGTCTGTTTGCTGCTTCCTTTAGACTCAGAATTTCTGATAAGGTTTACATAGTAAACTATTAAAACTCAGTAATCTCCTAGATACAAGCAGAAGGAACTGGATTTAGTGATCTTATGGTGCCCAGAAATGTGTTTTTTTTTTT